ATTGGTGAAGAAATAAACTTATACTTGTACACATATTTATGCAAACCAAGGAAGGACAAAAACATGAATACTCTGAAAACAATCCATGGGGAAATGATAGACATGAAGATAATTTAAAACACACAAAGATAACTTAGCATATTCAACTGCTACCATTTTACTGTGTTCCCTCTAAACTACACACTTCTATTAACATTCTTAAAATTGGGAAATAAGATCATGTGATAAGGTGCTTAAATAAAGTGATTACCGCAAGCTGGCTGTGTCCTTTCCTGCAATTATGACTGCTGACATTAATTACATTTTTATGTGTAGCACATGATCTGCACATTTTCTGGCTGCAGCACCAAACCAGATGCAGGACACTCTCTTTCAGCATGAGTAATGGAAAGAAGGCAGCAAAATCTCATCACTTTGGGAGGCAGGGCTGGAGAACAGGGCAAGAAACACCTCACCACCTCTTGTTCTTTGGGAAAGAAACAAGGGCTTGTAATGAAACAAACCCATGTGTACAAGGAGGCTCCAATTCCCGACCTTCTTCTAAAAAGGGCAAGCAGAAGTTAAGAGAGTAAAAGCAGAATCCTGCCCTGTCCATATCAAACGGAGGGTCTGGAATTGAATAACTCTTACTGTTGAATGAATGAAGAAATCAGTGAAGCCTCCTCAAAGTTAAGACTCTCCATGTGAAATAGCTGTGGGGGGCTTCAGAGGCCCGGGGTGGAGGTGGGGGGTGTTGACTAACACAGGTATTCACTGGGTTATTCCCCGATTTCCCACTCATTGATGAAATGTGAGAACCAAAATTTTAATTTGGCTACAAGCAAGGACATCGGGAGGACATTTCCCAGAATGTGCTTACAAATATGGTTTGGAACTTTCTAAGTGATATACCAACAACGTGTAATGATCTGGATGTGTTCATCACAGATGTGCCATATATTCTCCTTAGAATGAGGACACATTTAGTATAATGGCTTGAGGAAACATTTAGTATAATGGTACAGAATAAGGGTTTAGAATACAGACAACAATAAAGATAATAGCTAAAAATTACCTAGGACTTCTTAAGTCCAGACACTGGGCTAAGTGGCTTTTCACGGATGACTCAGGAATCCTCCATACAATTATCTGAAATAGGTTACTATGTCTACTTTACAGATGCAGAAACTAAGGCTTAAAAGGTTTACAAATACTCCCAAGTCCACACAGATACTAATAGTGACAAAGCCAAGATTCATAACCCAAAATATCTGATTTCAGAGCCTAAAAGATGAACCACTATGTTATTCTGACCAACAGGACTCATTTACAGTTCGAAGGGCCTAAATCTGAAATAATCAATATATGAATAATTGGGAATTGTTTTTTAAAACACTTTTCACCGTTTATACCTGCTGAAAACTCTAACTAGCTCTGACGTGATTAAAATTTAAGTTTTAGGGCACCTGGGTGGCTCAGTTGGTTAAGTGACTGTCTTCAGCTCAGATCATGATCCTGGAGTCCTAGGATCGAGTCTCGCATCAGGCTCCCCCTTTCATACTCTCTCTCTCTCATTCTCTCTCTCTCAAATAAATTAAAAAAAAATCTTAAAAAAAATTTTAAGTTTTAAAGCTATTCCCTACATGTATGCATGGTATAAGTGTCTTCCTATTACGTCCATTTGGGCACAAAAAACATTCCTAGAATTACCTGCTCCAGACTCTTGATTTGACAGAACAGTTTGGGTAAAAGGATTTTCTACTGCTGGCTAGACTGAATACAATACAGCTACGTAAGAGGCTGAACCTGTCACGCACCCAGCGTCTGTATGTATCCCCATACAGACATGGGGATATTTTTTAAAAATGAGGAAGTCTCAAAATCCTCTCCCAAGAAAGACAAGCATTGTGCTAAGGACTCCAAAATAGTTCTAAAGGTCACTTCAGACTAGCTCTGATCATTTCTTTCCATTCTGATAGAAAATATACTTCTGGAACCATCATAATGGAAGAAGAGCTGGACTGAAGAGAAAGGTTTGGTAATCAAAAAAGGAAAGAAAAAAAAAGGCAGAAAAGACTAGTCTTGCTTTTTAATCTAAAGGGACCTAAAGTTCTCCTGACTCGATAGATATGGATTTAGCTTCCTGTTCTTTTAAAAGACAAATGTGTCCTAGTGGGCTGATCTGGCTTCTCAATAAGCTCAAATCTCTCCCTTTTGCCCTCTGCCTCTTGTACTTTCTCTTTCCAGCAATAATATATGGAAAAGTGGGGTGTGTAGTGTGCTGGGTTTGCTTGAGAAAGGTAGTATTTGACACCTGTAATTGTAATGACTAACTCTCCAGCTGGTTGGCAATGGTTAGAAGACTGTTCACCCCACTAAATGCCAAAGCAACCAGGAGTCCCCTATAAACAGCATTCCAAGAATTATAATTCTTTTGAGTCCCAGGAAATCTGGAAAGAAGAGAACTTCTCCGGAGCAAATAAGCAGGCGTGTGTGTGTGTGTGTGTACACACACATTTGCGTGTTTACTGTACATTCCCCAGACTCTTTCTTCAAGAGCCAAGAACTTATTCCCCCAACAATTGGGAAACTGGCTGCTGGCTGCTGAAACTCACAGCTGATCCCTCTTAGAGATTTACCCTTGGGAACCACCCTCCACCAAAAGGAGCTGCTTCACCCTAAGATTACTCAGCCCCTCCCCAAGGGTAGCTCAAATCCAATGGCTGCAAAACAAAGGCGAGGCCTCCTTGTCTGGATATGACACAACTCCAAAGGACCATCCTAGCTCCAGAGCTGCCTGAGGTTCAGCTTCTCCCCCTCTGCCCCATCCTGCCTTACCCACTCCCTTCAAGAGTGGACAGCACTCTCTTGAAGCTCTTGAATCCTTTCCCAGGATCGCAAAGCAAGTAAGCAGAAGAGCTGGCATTCAAATCCAAATCTCTTTGACTCTCAGTCCCAGGTTTCTACCAACTTTATCAAGCTCTAGACTTTGATTTACAAAATACACATCCTTACATCTTAGCAAGACATACAAAGCCCCTTTCTGTAACAACCGTCCTTCCTACCCTCATATCCCATCACTCAACTCCCATGTGACCCTGGCCCAGTGACATCAAATTCTTTCCTGAACATGTCGTATTACTGCTTTCCCTGGAACACTGGTCTTTGTCTGCTTGATGACCACTTCCTTCTCCTACAGGTCTCACTCCAAGTACTCCCTCTTCTGTGAAGAATTTCCTGACCCCCCAGGAAGGTAGTAGATCTTCAGCTTTGAGCTCCCACAGCGGGTTGTGTTTCCCTTAGCCTGGTAACTGTTAATTACCATAATGAGTTCCATGCAAGCAGGGACATGTCTTTTAACTCCGCTTCCTCAGGCATTTTGAAGATGTTCTGTTGAATAGATAAATAAATGAATTCGACTGAGGTGTTGGCTGAGACGCCCTGGCTGAACGGATGGCAGCCTTCCCACGACTAGAAGCAGCACATAGCGTCATCCAAATTTGGATAGAATGTGACCTTCTTGAGCACGAGGACTGGTTTTTGTCCTCTATGTAGCTTTTCCAAGACCTAATACCATCTCCTGCTCATAGAAGATGCTCAAAAGGCCCCAGTGAACTAAATGAGGCTTTGGCTGAAAGGGCTGACATCTGAGAAAACCACTTTCATGGCTCCATAAACTATTTTTCAAATTTCTATTTTTTAAGATACATTGAAGGCTTTCTCTACCTGTTCTGTCTCTCTTTTTTAAAAAAGATTTTACTTATTTATTTGACAGAGAGAGACACAGCAAGAGAGGGAACACAAGCAGGGGGAATGGGAGAGGGAGAAGCAGGCTTCCCGCCAAGCAGGGAGCCCAATGCGGGGCTGGATCCCAGGACCCTGGGATCATGACCTGAGCCGAAGGCAGACGCTTAACGACTGAGCCACCCAGGCACCCCTCTACCTGTTCTCTTTTTAATAGGTTCTTCGAAAAAAATTTTTTAAGTTCCTCCTTTGTTTGAAACATTCAATTTTTTTTTTTTTTCCTATTTCACAGAGCAAAAGAGGACCTGGAGTTTGCTGAATTCCATTTCTGGGTCAGAAATAGAACCTAACGTGGACAGATCAAACACAGCTAAGAGGTTTTCCAGCTGGCCTGCTTAACACTACATCTTTGTTTTCAAGGGCCCCTTTGAAACATAAATATGTCATTAAACTACAAGGTGGGGTTTTCCCCCCACTTTCTGAAACTAATGCTTACTTACGGAATAGAGTATAGATATTGGTAGAGGCCCCACACAACACTAGCACAACGCTGAGGAGAGGTGGGGAGAACCCTTGTCCTATAAACATAAAAACTGAAAGCAAGTCTTACTGGACGAGTAGCTGCATTCCCCACACAGGATATGGTCCAATTCTGTGACTGTTCTCAACAGCAATGAAATTACTGAGAGCTGGCTGAGAGTAGTAACAATGATAAGAAGGCTTAAAAGCCCAGCTCCTATTTTGTAAATGGATTTGGGAAGGAGGAAGCTCTCTGGCATGTAAAAGCCTGAATTTTCTGTGCCCTGTGGGATTTTCTTCATGTCATCCTCTTACCACCTCCACTGCTAGTCTGTTGAGAGCAAAGAAAAAAACCATGATAACATTTTCTCAAAAGAGCAGCACATCTGGTTATCCTGTCCTTCCCAAGTGTCTGATCATGTGTGAGCCAAACCACCAAATCTAAGGCTTTTCCCCTCTGGTTTGATTTTTCCTAACTGCAGGCAATGTGTTCCTAAGGTCAGAGGGGCAATCCGCAGGTACATCTCATTTCACAATTTTGCTCACATTGTTCAGGTCGCAGATTCAGCGACTTACAGCTCTATACGTATGCTGCGCAGGTTAAACTTTTTATTCTGTGTCTTTAAAATACTCCTTCTTTTAGCTAAAACTCATGGAGTACAATTAAGGAACGAAGGGACCAATCCCTTCTCAGTCGTGCTAATGGTTAACAGGGGTTATGGGAAAGCATACGGCAGCAGGATTGAGATGGAAAGTACCTTTTTAAACATCCTGGTCGAATCCTCACTTATCTGCATGAACCGCATAATCACATTGTTCAGATAGATGTCACTCAAAGTTGCATGGTCTTTGCTCTCTCTTCTCACTTGGTTCAGAAGCAGATACCAGCAGTTCACTGGAGACAACAAGTTTTGGTCTTTCCTGAGAAGTGAAGAAAAACAAAATTACCATCAATTTCGAAGCTGCCCGAACCACCTGAGGGAAGTCACCAAGGCCCACGGGGAGCCACAACAGATGGGTATTGTTTTTTTGTTTTTTTTTTTTAAAGATTTTATTTATTTATTTGACAGAGAAAGACACAGCGAGAGAGGGAACACAAACGGGGAGTGGGAGAGGGA